ATCTGTCCAGTTCAATTAGCCCTCCAAAATGCATGGATATGGCCTCAATCCTTAAGCCCAGTCCAGATGCTTAGGAAGCAGAAAAACAGACCTCTCTCTCAAAACCTGGTTCAATCTAGTAGGAAGAGGGCCAGACTTGGGAGACTAAAGGCCCAACTTCCAGACTCAAACTTGCAGTCAGTTCTCTGACTTTAGTTATATCACTCAATTCACTGAGAACCAGTTTCTTGATCTGAGAAATGAGGATAATAATAGCTACTTTATAAAGTGCTACAAGGACCCAGTGAAAGATTTCTAAAAGTAGGGCCTAAGACTGGGTTTAGTTTTCTGTTGGCTGTCTTGAAATTCTTAATAATTTTTTGAAGAAGAAGCCTTGTGTTTTCATTTTGCACCAGGCCTGAGAAAATTATGTAGCTTGTCTAAACCTGTATACCCTTGGCTAAGACTACATTTAACCTCTCTGGTTGCCATAGTCTGTAATTGGATGATTTGACCTGGTAAGAAATGTTTACTTTATTATTTCACTGACTAGCAAAATTTGACACAGATGAGCAGTCTCTCTTTGTTAAAAATTTTTTTTTAAATTGGCTTATTTCTGTAGTTTCTTTTTGCCCTTCTGACTGCTCCTTTTCTGTGTTCTTCTTAACCAATTACTTATCCAAACTAAACTCCTGATCATCTCTGCCCTCCAGCTCTATCTCATCTGGTAATGGTAATTCCATCTTTTCAGTTGCTCAGGCCAAAACCCTGTCTAGCTCTTAACACACATGTAATTTGTAAATTCACCACTTTACCACCACCACCACAGTCCAAGCCATGGCCGTCTGTTACCTTGATCACCGTTGATGTCTTTCTGAATGGTGTCCCAACTTCTGCTCCCTCTTTGCCCCATACAGTAGCCAGAACATGAGACAGACTGAATGACTATAGTTCAGACCATCCCATGACTGTCCATCTCTGCAAGGAGCTTAAGAGACCCTCCCACCTCCTTTCCACTCCTCTTCAGGCCATTTGCTGATGTCTTCTTCATGGAAGGTCCCCTAACATCAGCAGAGCTGGCTTTCTTCTCCTTCCATTCTCCTCACTTGTCAGTCAATCACAGTGCATAAAAAAGCAGACATAGTCAATGTCTCCCTTATTCCTACTCCTATTCTTCTAGCTCAATTTCCTCAAAAATATTATTTTTTTTGTCAATCCTAGGGCTTGAACTCAGGGCCTAGGCACTGTCCTTGGGCTTCTTTTGCTCAAGGCTAGATCTCTACCACTTGAGCCACAGTGCTACTTTTCTGGCTTTTTTTGTTTATTTGGCTTCATGCATGCTAGGCCAGCACTCCATAAGCCACATTCCAAGCCCTCTCAAAAAATTATAATCATCTGATACATTTATACTTATTTGCTTAATCTCTGCTTCCCTCCCCCCATTAAAATGGAGACTCAACAAGAGCAGGACTTTGCCTTTTAGCTGCTGAATATCCAGCACAGAGGACATTGCCAAGCACTGAGAATGAATGACAATAGAAGAGCTCTAGAACAGATGATATTACTCTAGGAGTAAGTCACAGCAGCTACCTTCCTGGGCTGTATGACCAAGAAGTTGGATCTGTGAATGGGAGGAAGGACATTGATGGGGTCAGGTGGCCCAGCCTTCCTCATGATCATGCTGTGGAGACCAAGAGGTGATTCAAGAGTGGTTCCTGTCTAGGAGGAGGTTTTGTGCACCTATGCATACAGTTCTAGAACAAGGCAGTATTTGTTTAAAAAGCTGACCTTTAATGCCTAATATCTCACATTCTAACAATAGCTCTGGAGTTTTAGCTCTATAGAAAGAAGAGACTACAAATTATGGTTTGTTAAATTTACTGGGTGACTATCTTTGTCCCAAATTCCCGCTCTGACCTTATCACACCAGAGGCACCTTGCCTGACTTCCAATCTGCTTTGCTCCAAAGTGTTCTCCACCAGCCTCTCCACCCAGCATAGTGCTCCCTTGATGTTCATTAGAGACCCCACCCTCTTCCAGTCCTCCACACTCTGCTTCTAGATACAGGGAACAAACATGTCAACTCAGGAAATTGTCAGAGGGTATGAAGAACCTATATATTAGGTTCTGGAAGCATAGCTCAGATGATAGTGTGCTTGAGGGCCATGGGTTCAAATCCTAGTACTGAAAAAAAAAGTCGTATGCTGTCCATAAGCCTACAGTACACAGAGCTCAGGGACTTCACTACCTATTTCTGTAGCTTAACAGCTTTGCTCAGTTGGTGGCACAAGTGGACATTTTGTCCATTTTGCTGTATTGTTGAACCCAGGGCTTTGTGCATGTTGGGGAAATGTTCTACCAGTAAATTACATTTGTAGTCTAGGAAAGTCCTGTTAAAGAAGTACCTCTGACCAGGCCTGGTGTCTCCAGCCTGTAATCCCAGCACTTGGAAGGTAGAGTCAAGAGGATAGAGTTTAAGAGCAGCTTGGGCTACACAGTGAGAACCTGTCTCAAAATAAAACAACAGTATCAACAAGAAGTGCCTCTGCATCCCCTGTGGGTATCCCAGAGGGGTTTTTATAAGACCTTTCATTGAACTGCAATAAGAAACAACCTAACTTAGTAAGAATTAAAACATTCCAAAGGAAAACTAGCTTAGATTATAAACATTACTTCATATGTTCAAAGTTACTTTTTCATTATATCCTGTATCTAAAAATCCACAAATTTCAAGAGAAAAATTATAGAAAAGGCCTGTCAGTCTCTATAAAATTCCTTTGCAGTTCGACAAGAAATGTACTCATTACCTTACTCATATAACTATAACCCCTCTGTACAGCATCTTTACAATAAAATAAAATTTAAAAATACTCCTTTGCATAAAGGCTGTCACAGCCATTTGAATTTTTTGATAGAGATTTACTTAAGACTGGAACCTGACCAGTACTACAAAAAAGACCAAGAACTGAAAAGCATGGAGGTTAATATTAAGATCTGGGTTCATTTTAATTTTTTTAAGTAGTTGTACAAAGGGGTTTCAAGTCACCATGTCAGTCTGAGTACAATGCATCTTTTTTTTTTTTGGGTCCAGTCGTGGGCCTGAACTCTGGGCCTGGCCTGGGCGCTGTCCTTCAGCTCTTTAGCTCAAGGCTAGCGCTCTACCACTTGAGCCACAGCACCACTTCCGGCTTTTTGCTTATGTGGTGCTGAGGAATCGAACCCAGGGCCTCAAGCATGCAAAGCAAGCGCTCTACCACTGAGCCACCTTCCCAGCCCAAGTACAATGCATCTTGATCATCCATGTCCGTGGACCTGGGTTTGAAAACCAAAGATAAACTTTAGTGGTATGGGTTATATCACTTTCAATACTTTTCAGTGTGTTTGAAAACATGTTCCTCTTGTGCCTTCACACTACATACACATTTTCATACTCAGACAGGATCAAGCATTAAAAAAAAGGTGGTCTATGCCAGCATCAGTGCTGCTTAGGAGAAGGTGAACCCTTCCCCTCCTTGATTCTGTTTCTCCATATATAAAAAGGGGCAAGAATTAATCAGTTTTCCATTCTTCCAGTCTTGATGTGTTGGGGCTCTCTGAAGGCTAGAGCTGTGGCTCAGTATGTGCTTAGCATGCATGAGAACCCTGGTTTCTATCCCCAGCACTGTTCAAAAAAAAAAAAAAAAGACTATCAAAGTAGGGATATTTACACTATAAGGGTCTATATAGAGGAATCTGTTTCTTTTTTTTCTTTTGGGGGGGGGTCCGGTCGTGGGGCCTGAACTCTGGGCCTGGCCGCTGTCCCTCAGCTCTTCAGCTCAAGGCTAGTGCTCTACCACTTGAGCAACAGCGCCACTTCCAGCTTTTTTCTTTTTTGCTTATGTGGTGCTGAGGAATCGAACCCAGGGCCTCATGCATGCAAAGCAAGCACTCTACCACTGAGCTACCTTCCCAGCCCTCAAGCCTTCTTTACTTTACTCTGGCTCCAAGACAGTTAACCCTGGGTCTCCAGACCCACTGCATTTCCAGGACGGGATCAGTGTTCCTTTCTTTGTTGAACCATGGTCCTCTGTGTGTCTGTGGGTCCTCAAATGGGGTGACTGATTGGAGATTTGGTTTCAACTTAATACCTGGGACATAATGCAGTAATATTTTCATTAGGAAATGTGTTTTGACTTTCCTGTGGATTAATAACAGTGTATTTCACTAGCTATCTTGAGTCATTTGGAATGACTGTGCAAGAGGGAAAAAAAGAGTGGTAGAAATTTTTTATTTTTTGGTCGGTTGTGGGGCTTGAACTCTGGGCTTGGGCACTGTCCCTGCGCTCTTCAGCTCAAGGTGAGCACTCTACCACTTGAGCCACAGCGCCAGTTTTCTAGTGGTTTTATTGGAGATAAGAGTCTCACGGACTTTCCTGCCCAGGCTGGTTTTGAACCATGATCCTCAGATCTCAGCCTCCTGAGTAGCTAGGATTACAGGCGTGAGCCACCAGCACCCAGCTGAGGAGTAGAAATTTGTTTTGAATTCCTAACTTGATTCTTTCCTACCTTGATTCTTTGTCTATTTATTGTCTAAGACATATACAGTAAGACTACATTATTTTATAACAGATTGAACTAAAAAAGAGATACTCAGGAAAAGAATGTAAGAATAATATCTAAACGCATGCTTCATTCATTCACATCCAGTATTTCCAATGTCATAAATACTTAATGAAATAAACAAGACAAGGACTATCTGCTCATTTTGCACATAAGGAAGAGAGTCACAGGAAAGGGAAATGACTTGCTCTGGGCTGCTGCTCGTTGGAGCCTACACCTCATCCAGTGTTCTCTCCATACCAGGCCACCTACCTTTTCAAAAAGGAAACTCTCCAGGCACAGCCTAGCATGACATTTTCTCCAGTACAGTCATCTGGTGACCAAAAAAAGGAATTTAGGCACTTGCTGGAAGATAGAACCATAGAAACAAATGACTGCTGGACGGGAGCCTGTGCATGTCAGGCTGGGCCTGAGGAGGTCCCTGCCAGAGGACCAGAACACAGGGCCAGCCATTTCCCTGCTTACACCTGAGGGCAGTGTGATAAAGGAGAATCTGCCTGCAGTTGCAGTCCAACCAGATAAAACTTTAGGCGGGAAGTCAAGTGACAAGTGAACTTCAGTGTGGGTGGTGGTGGTGGTGGTGGTGTGTGTGTTTAAGTGTTAGTTGTTTTTGATATTTTTTAAAAAGCTTTTAGGCTGCTTGTGGAAGTCAGAGCAAATACCAGGAAGGTATTGCAGCAAGATGGACTTAGGAAAGGACCAATCTCATCCAAAGCTACAGCAGACATCGGACACTCATCCAATAAAGGCCTCTGCACCAGGTAATGAAAGAGATGGCAAGAGAGGGTAGCTACTGGGAAGACTGAGGACTATAGTGATTTTTCTCTTTGATGGGTCTGGTATAATTGAATACATTCATATACCCTTAAGTGGGAAGAAATGGGCTATATTTAACTTCTTGTTAAATATAGGTACCTTTATAGCACTGTGACTGTCATAAGTTAGAGAAATACAAGGTAGTGATAAATTATTAATAAGAAATTCTCTTAAATGAGAGATAATGAAAATGCCCAGGTGGTTGTGGTAAAACAACTCTACCCCAACATCTTCTTTTACAGGAGCATAAATTTGGTGTAACTTTTATAAAGAGATCTGACAGTAGGTGGCAAGAACTAAAACAGTACTTACTTTTTGGACTCCTGATCTCAGTCTTTAGATCTGTCCTAAAGTAGCACTTCCCAAAATATTTTGTGCAGACCTAGAGATACCTTACGACAATGTTTTCAAACTTCTTTTGTTTGATGGATCAGGATGGAGATTGCTGATCCATTTCTGATAGAGCTATGGCTCTGATGAATCTGTACATTTTTTTCTTTAAAAAATTAAAAACATAAAATTAAATACATAGGATTACAAAGGAAGCAGTTATATTAGGACAGTTGTCAAATTTTGGGGGGGAAGGTCCAGTCGTGGGGCTTGAACTCTGGGCCTGGGCGCTGTCCCTCAGCTCTTCAGCTCAAGGCTAGTGCTCTACCACTTGAGCCACAGCACAACTTCCGGCTTTTTTCTTTTTGCTTATGTGGTGCTGAAGAATCAAACCCAGGGCCTCATGCATGCAAGACAAGCGCACTACCACTGAGCCACCTTCCCAGCCCCAGTTTTCAAATGTTTTTAAATTGTGTTATATTACTATATGTGTTTACTTGTAGCTGTGATAATGAGATGCTACATTGATAGATCTAATAATACCAATCAAGCAAATCATATCACAAATGTTCTTTTAGGGGATCTGCAATACTTATTAGTGATAAAGTCACTCAGTGCTAAAATGACTGTGGCTAGTTACCAATGCTCAAAACTGAATAAAAATGCTCATTGTAATTAGAGGTTGGTAAAATTTTTCACCACAAGAACCCTTGTCTTGGCCAGGTACCAGTAGCTCATGCCTGTAATTCTAGCTACTCAGGAGGCTGAGATCTGAGGATCACAGTTCAAAGCCATCCCAGGCTTTCTTTTATTTGTTTTTTTTTGGAAGATAAAACAAAAACAAAAAAAAATCAAAACAAAACTAGAAGTGGAGCTATGGCTCAAGTGGTAGAGCTCTAATCTTGAACATAAAGAGACTCAGGGACAGTACCCAGGCCCTGAGTTCAAGCCCCAGAACTGGGGAAAAAAAAAAGAACCCTTTGTGAAGGATAAACAAAGGAGGAGGCTGCAATGCTTGGTAAGAAATGTACACATTATCCTGCCCATGTAACTGTAACTCCTCTGTACAGTATGTTCACAAATAAAATAAAATTAAATTAAAAAAAAAAAAAAAAAAAAAAAAAAAAGAACCCTTGTCTTAAGAACAGAAGGTGCTGTGGTCCAGGGGCACATTCGGTTTTTTGGAGGTCCCAGTTTAGCTCTGCATCACTCCACAGGTTTTGGGATCCATTAACTTTTGTCAAACATAAATGGCAATAAAACTTTGATATACTTAACATTCCAAAGAACTTTAAGAAACATCTTAGCTGTGTACAGTGGCTTAAATCTATAACCTTGCTATATGGAAGGTAGAGATTTGGGGATTGCAGTTTGAGGCAAGCTAGGCATAAAAGTTTGAGAAATTCCCTATCAACCAATGCCTTGGCCAGATGGAGTAAACTTGTCATTCCAGCCACAGGTAAAGTACAATGGCTGGGCTCAGTGGCCCTTACCTGTCATCTCAGCAACAAATAGGAGAATCAAAGTCCAGGCTAGCCAGAGAATAAAGTCATAGCTTATTTTGAAAATTAACAACAAAAAGGGGTTGGTGTAGTGGCTTACGGGGTAGAGTGCCTGCCTAATAAGCACAAGGCCCTTGGTTCAAATCCCAGCACCAAACCCCACATATATGTTCCTCTGTTTTGTTTCTTACCAGCTTGAATTTGCTTACTAATACCTTGATATACAAGGCAGAAAAATAACTGATAACAACCTAAATGTTCAATACAAGTGGGTAGATCAAGTACTATGTCATTATTTAAATTATAGTCATGAAGAGTATATCATGGAAAATATATCTGACATAATGTTAGGGTGAAAAAAGATACAATTGTGGTATGCTATCATTACAACTTTGTGTAATTTAGGGCCTGGGTGAAAATGAAAAATAAAATGAAAATGAAATATTAAGGATGACAGAATATAAATTATTTTTATTTGTACATGTAAAAAATAAATCAAGTTGATAGCACACTGACACATAGCTACCATGACTGAATAGGTCTCTAATTTGATCTTTTTCACTCAAAAATACTTACTAAAGGCTGGAGGGGGGCTCAAGTGGTAGAACAAAGACCTTGAGTTCAAACCCTAGTACCAAACCAAACAAACAAAGAAAAAAAACAAATGTCAGGGGCTGGGAAGGTGGCTCAGTGGTAGAGCACTTGCCTTGCATGCCTGAGGCCCTGGGTTCGATTCCTCAGCACCACATAAGCAAAAAGAAAAAAGCCGGAAGTGGCGCTGTGGCTCAAGTGGTAGAGCGCTAGCCTTGAGCTGAAGAGCTGAGGGACAGCGCCCAGGCCCAGAGTTCAGGCTCCATGACCGGACCCAAAAAAAAACCCCAAATGTCAACACCACCCCTAAAAAACCAGCTGAATGTTGGTGGCTCACCTGTAATCTTAGCTACACTGGAGGCTGAGATCTGAGGATTGCAATTCAAAGCCAGGGTTAACAGGAAAGTCTGTGAAGCTGTTATCTCCAATTAATCACTAAAAAGCTGAAAGTTGAGCTATGTATGGCTCTAGCAGTATAGTGCTAGCCATGAACAAAAAAAACTCAGGGACAGCATTCAAGCCCAAAGTTCAAGCCCCTAGGCCAGGCAAACACACACACACACACACACACACACACACACACACACACAAACACCTAGGCCAGGCAAACACACACACACACACACACACACACACACACACACACACACACACACACACACACACACACACACACACACGGAGAAACACCTGAGCCAAATGTACAAATGTAGTGGTACAAGGCTGTAATTCCAGGAGGTTGAGTCAAGGAGAATTGCAAGTTTGAAACCACTTTGGTATTCCATAATACCTTGTCTCAAAAAAAAGAAGAAAGAAAGAAAAGAAAAGAAAAAGAAAAAGAAATTTCTGAGTGTCAGCTCCACGTTCTCTGAGGCACATAGATAACTAAGATATGAGGCTTTTCTTGTTGTTGTTGTTGTGTTTTTTGTTGGTGGTGGTGGTCATGGAGCTTGAACTCAGGGCCTGGGCACTGTCTCTGAGCTTTTTCACTCAAGTCTAGTGCTCTACACTTTGAGCCACAAAGCTACTTCTGGTTTTCTGGTAGTTAATGGGAGATATGAGTCTAAGACTTTCTTGCCTGGATGGTTTCAAACCATGATTCTCAGATCTCAGTTTCCTGAATAGCTAAGATTACAGGCATGAGCCACTGGTGCCTGGATTCAGATATGATTCTTGTCCCCAAATCCTAGAAGCAAGCTGAGCACCAGTGGTTCACATCTGTAATCCTAGCTGCTCAGGAGGCAGAAATCTGAGGATCACAATTCAACGCCAGCCAGGGCAGGAAATTCCATGACACTCTTATCTCCAATAAATTACCAGAAATAGAGCTATGGGGCTCAAGTGATAGAGTACTATCCTTGAGCAAAATAGTTCAGGGACAGAACCCCAGGTCCTGAATTCAAGCCCCTGGACAGGCATGCACGCGCATGAACTCGCACATGCGCACACGCACGCACACACACACACACACACACACACACACACCACACACACAAAACCAGTATAGGGAGTCTACTACATTGCAGTAGGACTCTTGCTGACAGATACCACAAGCTATCACTCTCTCTAGTAACTTCCATTTTTTACCCTGCAGAAATCATTGGAACTTGGAGTTTGCGAAACAGAGAGCAACTCAGGAAAAGAAAAGCTGAAGCACAAGAGAAACAGACCTCACAATGGCTCCTAGGGTACAGTATCATCCCAAAGCAAAGGGCAGATTATCAACCAGACTGCAAACCATGTGCTATGATCCCCTCCCCAAAAGGGAAGGCAGCATCCAATGGGTTAACTCTCTTACCTTTGTGACACAGTAAAGTTGGTCTCTTAACTAAACCACTGTGCAACTGATTTGTGCTGAAGAGAAGCCTGGTGTGCAGTTTCATATAAATATACAAGCATCTGGTTAGAGTGGGGAAAACTAGGGACAAGCTTTCTGTGGGTGAAGTCCTTGCTGAATGAGTGTGACCAACTCTCCTCAAAGTATACCAAAACATGTTTTTTTTTTTTAATTGTGAAAATACTGTATAGAGGGATTACAATTACTTGGGCAAGATAATGAGTACATTTCTTTTCTTTTTTCTTTTTTTGGGTGGGAGTCTGGTCCTGGGTCCTGAACTCAGGGCCTGGGCGCTGTCCCTCAGCTCTTCAGTTCAAGGCTAGTGCTCTACCATTGAGCCACAGCGCCACTTCCAGCTTTTTTCTTTTTTGCTTATGTGGTGCTGAGGAATTGAACCCAGGGCCTCATGCATGCAAAGCAAGCACTCTACCACTGAGCCACCTTCCCAGTCCTGAGTACATTTCTTATCAATCATTGTTGCCTCCTCCTTTGTTTCTCCTTCCTGTCCCTTTCCATCTCCCACCCCTCCCACCCCCCTGGTTTTTGTTTGTTTTTTTTTGTCGGTTGTGGGGCTTGAACTCTGGGCCTTAGTGCTGTCCCTCAACTTTTCAGCTCAAGGAGGCTAGCACTCTACCACTTGAGCCACAGTGCCACTTCCAGTTTTCTGGTGGTTTATTGGAGATCAGAGTCTCACAAACTGAGCTGACTTTGAACCGCAATCCTCAGATCTCAGTCTCCTGAGTAGCTAGAATTACAGGCGTGAGCCACCAGCGCCCGGCATCAAAACATGTTAAAGAGTGAAATGTTAGGTTTTTAAAAAGAGGTAGCCGAGTAAGAACTGCACCAGCACGCACGTGGTATTCGGGTAAGGGGTAGGTTTATTCAGTAGACCTGCTGGGACCAGGCAAGGTTGGCACTCCACGTGGCTGGGAAATGCCTGGGAAGGAGAGAGCTGGGAAAGAGAGGAAAGAGCTAGAAAAGAGCAGAGAGAGGGGTAAGAACAGTAGCACTCACGTGGTATTCAGGTAAGGGGTAGGTTTATTCAGTAGACCTGCTGGGACCAGGCAAGGTTGGCACTCCACGTGGCTGGGAAAGAGAGAGGAAAGAGCTAGAGCAGAGAGAGAGCAGAGAGAGCTAGAAAAGAAGAGCCAGAGCAAGAGAGCTAGAAAAGAAGAGCAAGAGCTAGAAACGAACAGAGAGAGAAAGAGCAAGAGAGCTAGAAGAGCAAGAGCAAGAGAGCTAGAAAAGAAGAGCAAGAGCAAGAGCTAGAAAAGAAGAGCAAGAGAGCTAGAAGAGCAAGAGCTAGAAACGAACAGAGAGAGAAAGAGAGAGGAAAGAGCTAGAAAAGAAGAGCAAGAGCAAGAGAGCTAGAAAAGAAGAGCAAGAGCAAGCTCAAGAGCTAGAAACGAACAGAGAAAAAGAGAGAGTCTGAGCCTGGGCTAGCCCTTATCTAGGGTATGGGCGGGGAAAGGTGTGGCCACATCAAATTCAGATGTGACCTCAGCGGATGCAGATGTGACCTCTTCCAGGTGTCCCAGTTGCCTAGGTAACGCAGGTACTGGGTGGAGAGTTTGCTGCCAGGAGGGTGGAGTCTGCTTGCCATCCAGGGGCGGACCTTACATGAAAGACTTTAGAATTCTCAGTCTCCCATAAATGTCACCTGTATTGTTGGGTGCTGGTGGCTCATTCCTATTATCTTTGCTACTCAGGAGGCTGAGATCTGAGGATCAAAGTTCAAAGGCAGTGGGGGGGGGCAAGAAAATCTGTGAGACTTTTAACCAATTATCCAGCACAAGGCTGGAAGTGGAAGTGTGGCTCAAATGGTAGAGCACTAGCCTTGAGTAGAAAAAAACTAAGGGACAGCTTCCAGTCCCTGAGTTTAAGCCAGTATCAGCACCAAACAAACGACAAAAAAGGAACAAAGAAAGAAAGAAAGAAAAATCATCTGTATTAAAGTCAGGGGGGATGGACTACAGGAACAAGAGAACATGATTAAAAGTTAGGCAGCATGTAATTGCATTCACATGCTTGTGGCAAGAGGAGACTTGCTTGCTTAGAGGTAGTGAGGGAACCCAAAGACTACAAGACACAACATCTAAGCCAGAGTTCCACAGCCCAGACATCGCACACACTTTGAGTAGAGTTCTTTGCTGGGAAAGGCTGTGCTATACACTGTAGATGTTTAGTAGCATTGTCTAGTTACCAACAGCACCTCCACCTTCTCACTCAAGCTGTGATGACCAAAATGTCTACATTGTCCAATGTCCTCTGGGGTGGGGTGCAGTGGGGGAGAAAGGCAAGATCATTCCTCATAGAGAGGCTCTAATCTAGGCCACGCATTCTTCTGGTGATTCACAATTATAAGCCCAGCACTTGGGAGTCTGAGGCAGAAGGATAGTATATTGGAGGCCAAAGGCGCCACCCCTGCCTTCCATCACTGGGGCTTGGGTGCTATCCCTGAGTTCTTCAGCTCAAGGCGAGCCCTCTACTGCTTGAGCCACAACATCACTCCTGGTGTTCTGGTGGTTAATTACCAATAAGAGTCTCATGGACTTTCCTGCCCATTTGGCTTTGAACTGCAATTCTCAGATCTCAGCCTCCAGAGTAGTTAGGATTACAGGCGTGAGCCACTGGCCCCTGGCTTTTGTTTTTAAGAACTAGAACAGTAATGTCTGTTGCTACTACAGCTGTTTCCATAATGCCATTAGCTCACAGATTGGTAAATAGTAAAATGATGTCAATAGAATGTAGGTGATGTTGGTTCATTATTTTTCCTTGCCCAAAGGAGCTAGAATATTGAGGACAGAATGAAAACCTCCAGCCAGCAGAAAATGGATGAGCTTTCTGTTTAGTCACTAGTGCAGCAGGGATCTCTCCTACATGGTAGCTGGCCATGGCTTCAAATGGGCTTAGACCTTGATTCAATGACTGTGAGCCTTGAAAGGATACCTTTTTTTTTTTTTGTCAGTCATGGGGCTTGAATTAAGGACCTGGGTGCTGTCCCTTAGCTCTTTTGCTCAAAGCTAGTTTTCTACCACTTTGAGCCACAGCTCCACTTCTGTTTTTTTTGTTTGTTTGTTTTTTGAGTTGCTAATTGGAGAAAAGAGTCTCTCAGAACCTTTCTGCCTGAGCTGGCTTGGAACTGAGATCCTCTAATCTCATTCTCCCGAGTTACTAGGATTACAGGCATGAGCCATGGCTTTTCTGCATTCTCACCATCCCCCAATGAAGCCTCCAGCCATGGCAGGCTGCCAGCCAGGGTTTTTCTCCTACTACTACCAAGGGCCTTTAGTGTTCAAACAGTGTATAGGTGTCGAGTCTTTTTTCTCAAGTCAATTTTCCTCCCACAACCACTTCACTTTTGAGTGCGTGATTTGGGGAATGCACACATGAATTTCAAGAGACTCTGTGCTTGGTTCCTGTGTCAGCTGATTGTTGAGGACTGTCCAGGCAGCTCCCCTAGTTCCACACCCATGAGTCGCCCTCTGACCATTCCTGGTTTCCCAAATACCTGCTGGCAGAGAAGTGCATTTGTTTCTCTTTTTTTTTTTTGGGGGGGGGAGGGGATCTAGTCATGGGGCCTGAACTCTGGACCTAAGCGCTGTTCCTCAGCTCTTCAGCTCAAGGCTAGCACTCTACCACTTGAGCCACAGCGCCACTTCCGGCTTTTTTTTTCTACTTATGTGGTGCTGAGGAATCAAACCCAGGGCCTCATGCATGCAAGGCAAGCGCTCTATCACTGAGCCACCTTCCCAGCCCACATTTGTTTCTCTTGCATTCTCTGCCTGTCACTTTATATTTCTTTCTTTTTTCTTTTTTTTTCCTGTTGGCCATGGGGCTTGAACTCTGAGCCTGAGTGCTGTCCCTCAGCTCTTCAGCTCTGGGTGAGTACTCTACCACTTGAGCTACAGCGCCACTTCTGGTTTTCTGGTGGTTTTTTATTGGAGATAAGAGTTTCACAGCCTTTCCTGCCCAGGCTGGCTTTGAACCATATCCTCAGATCTCAGCCTCCTGAGTAGCTAGGATTACAGGTGTGAGCCACCAGTGCCCGGCTGTCACTTTATATTTCTCTCTGTTAACTACTGGTTTCTCCCCCTCTCCTTTTCCCTACCTTTTCCTTTTCCTTCCCTTCCTCCCCACCCTACCCCAGTTGAACAAGATGCTCTGCCCCTTGAAATACGCAGCTAGTGTTGTCTTTGTGCTGATTAGATTGTGTAGCTTACAGACCTGGAGACTTGCTCTGGGGACACATCTATTTGTTAGGGCGGGCCATTCCTCTCTTCTCTCAGAATACACGGCCTTAGTGAAACCTTAGAGGTGTCAGCAAGCAGCAAGTAGCAGAGTGTAATGGTTCAAAGCCTGGCTGACAGGCTAGACTGACTAGATCTGAAGCCCGATTCTTCCTAGCCACTGACCTTGAGCAAGTTACACCACTCCTCAGTGCCTCGGTTTTATCAGGGAAGATAACTGTATCCACCTCTGGGCTGACTTGTAGATTCTATGAGATAACAATTACTTGCAACACTTGGGAAAAGGACTATTGTTCCCAATACTAATATGGGAGTACCAATTTATACTGCACCTGATAAGTTTCTATGTAAATCCAGCACGTGAAGTTAGGTTGCCATTATTTACCTCATTTTACCTGTAAGGAAGCCAAGGCTGGGAGAGGTGGGCAACTTGCCAACGATCATGGGAATACAGATTGAAGTTTAGGCTGAGCAGATTTTTTTGGGTCCAGTCGTGGGGCCTGAACTCTGGGCTTGGGCACTGTCCCTCAGCTCTTCAGCTCAAGGCAAGTGCTCTACCACTTGAGCCATAGCACCACTTCTGGCTTTTTTCTTTTTTGCTTATGAGGTACTGAGTAATCGAACCCAGGGCCTCATGTATGCAAGGCAAGCTCTCTACCACTGAGCCACCTTCCCAGCCCATTTTTTTTTTTTTTTTTTTTTTTTTTACAAGAAGGATGTGGCTACTATATTACTGAGATCTCCTCAGAAGGAGATCTATATAGCAAATCATGTAGTAAGTAGTAACTGGGGAAACTTTCCTAAAAGATTCAAAATTTCAACAAGTTTGGAGGAATGATGGAGGTGCTTTCCCCACCTCCCAGCCCACCTAAATTAGCCATCTGGATTTGGCAGTCCCTAACAATTTGTCATTGGCTGCTGTTTCCATGCATATCCTTTCATCTTCTAGAGCATGACTCTCTTCATTAGGTCTAAGAGGGCCACTTGCGCCTTTCTACTATACTACTTAACCTCAAAAATTTGTTTTTCAGTTTTGACCACTTCTCATAGACCTTAGCTACTCAGTAACCTATTCAGAAAACACTATCAGACAAGCAAATACTCTACCCACCTGAGCCTGCAGGGTGAGAAGCCATGCTGCATTGTAGGTCTAGAAACTCAGTTACCAAATCCAAAGACATGACTGTATAAACTAGAATGTCAATATTCTCCCCTAATACACACATGCATGCCTGTGAGGTATACACACACACACACACACACACAAAGGTATATTAAATAGGTTTCATTAGGTAGCCAATGAAGAGAACACCATGCGCTATTCAGGCAGGAGAAGTTTATTTACCAAACTGCTGCCCCCACCATGCATGGTAGAGAAGCATGGCTGAAAAGGAAAAAAGGGGTGTGGGGGGGGAATACACTCTGGGCCAGGACTTATCTAAGCCAGGGATAGGAAGAGGTGTGGCCAGGTGGGGGGGAAAGGTGTGGCCACACTGGATCTGAATGTGACCTCCAGGTCTGGGACCCTCCTAAGGTCAGATGGGAAGCATGTGATCAAAGATGGTGCAGGATGTGACCTAGCTGGAGGGGAAGGTGACTGCTTCCAGGTCTGCCAGTTACCTAGGTAACAGATACTGGGTGGAGACTTAGCCAAGAGGGAAGGAGGTATCCCTGTGCAGACCTTACACACACACACACACACACACACACACACACACACACACACACACACACACACACACACACACTTTGGAAATCTGACAATTGAGAGTATCTAGCACAGTTCATTTTACAAACAAAGAGACTGAGGTCCAGAGAGATTAAATGTCTTCTTCAAGATTGTGAAGAAGGCAATGAGAACTCTAGAACCTTTATATTTTTTATGTGAATTCTATAGCAGTTTGGCTTACATTAATTCTAATCTCTCTGCAGAGAAGAGAAAAAACGCAAAAGGCAGAGAACAGGCCGAAAGAAAGAAGGAAATGCAGAACCGAAGGTGAAGCCTCGGTCACAAACAGCAAAGCAAGTGATGGAGAAAGAACTGGTACGCACGGGAAAAGAAATGGAGCCACCTAGGGATGTAACTGAAGCTCTTCCTTCCATAGCCTTCCCCCAACATTCTTCTGACATACACCAAGAAAGCATTGCCCATCAGGAAAATTCTTCTGAGTACCAAGAAATAGTGGTTCAAAGCCATTACTCTGAAACATGCCAACACCTGGCTGAACCAGAAGATCCTTCTCCTAAAATATGCCTAGAAGTAGCTGTACACCAAGATGATCCTTCTGAAATGTGCCAGGATGCATCTGAAGCTCAAGACCATTCTTCCAAAGTATGCCAAGATATAGCTCAACCTGAAGTTCTCTCTCCTAAAATAAGCCAGGAAATGGCTGTACTTCAAGTTCATCCTTTGAAAATGTGCCAAGATATGGTTGAATCGGAAGTCTCCTCAACTAAAGTGTGCCAAGAAGTGGCTGTTCCCAAAGCCCTTCCCTCTACATCTGAAGATGTAGCTGACCTAGCAGGATGTCCTCCCGAAGCACCTCCCAAACTGGAGGAGCCTAAGGGCTATGCTATTGACACAACTCAACCAACAGCTGGACCAGAGGAACTCAGTTCTGAACCAGATCAAGGAATAACTGAGACCAAATTAGTAGCTGTGCCTAAAAACCATTCTATGAAAACATATCAAGAAATAGTTGAACCAGAATACTTTTCTCATGAGACATATGAAGAAACACCTGAGCATGAAGACTATTCACCTGAAATATACCAAGGGCCTGAAGATCTCTCTACTAAGAAGAGAGATGTACCTAAAGAATGCCTTCTAGAACCATACCAAGAAGAGGGTGGGTCCCAAGGCCAGGAACCTACAGCACAAGAGGAAGATGCTAAGAAAGTTTACACTTTTCCTCCAGGTGGAGACTGTTTTTTTGTTTTTGTTTTTGTTGGTCATGGGGCCTGAACTCTGGGCCTGGGTGCTATCCCTCAGCTCTTCAGCTCAAGGCTAGTGCTCTACCACTTGAGCCACAACATCACTCCTGGTTTTCTGGTCGTTAGTCAGCAATAAGAGTCTCATGGACTTTCCTGCCCAGGCTGGCTTTGAACCACAATCCTCAGATCTCAGCCTCCTGAGTAGCTAGGATTACAGCATGAGCCATTGGCACCCAGCAAACACTATTATTTCTATAGTATGCAATTAAAAATTACCATGATATTTTAATATTTACTCCATTTGAGACTGGGCACTGGTGGCTTATGCCTGTAATCCTAACTGCTTAGAAGCTGAGATCTGAGGATTGTAGTTCAAAGCCAGTCTGGGCAAGAAAGTCCTTGAGACTCTTATCCCCATTAGCCACCAGAAAACCGGAAGTGATGCTGTACAGCTCAAGTGGTAAAGTGCTAACCTTGAGCAAAAAAGCTCAGGGGCAGTGCCCAGGTCCTGAGTTCAAGCCCCATGATGACAAATTTAAAAAAAATTACTCCAGGGTTGGGAAGGTGGCTCAGTGGTAGTGTGTTTGCCTTGCATGCATGAGGCCCTGGGTTCAATTCCTCAGCACCACATAAACAGAAAAAGCCAGAAGTGGCACTGTGGCTCAAGTGGTAGAGCACTAGCCTTGAGCTGAAGAGCTGTGGGACAGTGCCCAGGCCCAGAGTTCAAGCCCCATGACTGACAAAAAAATTACTCCATTTGAAATTAGTTTTTGTGCATGTATGAGGTAGGTTTTTTTTCCCTCAAAGTGGATAATAAATGGTCCCAAAGTTTACTGAATCTATTCTTGTATTTCATTTTATTTTCCAGAAGTGAAGGAAAAAGCCAAAGTGGAAGAACCAGAAATATCAGCAATTCCACATTCCCCTCAAGAGATTCGACAAGAAAATGACGTCTACAGTTATGTTTTGTTTTAGCAATGCTCAATCATAAAGTTGTAGACCAACAAAATATGTATCTTGATATTTTATGTGTGATGTTTTAAAACGTATAGACTTTGGCAATTTTTATTCATGTTATTTCCCATTTATAAATCATACCTCTGAGAGAACTAACATTTTTTAGATAATATTCCACTAGAATGTGTGTGTGTGTATGTGTGTGTGTGTGTGTGTGGATATATATATATATATATATATATATATATATATATATGCATGAATATGGGAGAAGATAGTTAAAAAGGAAGAGAGGAGAAAGAGGAAAAGGGAAGATATATATATATATATATATATATGCATGAATATGGGAGAAGATAGTTAAAAAGGAAGAGAGGAGAAAGAGGAAAAGGGAAGATATATATATATATATATATATATACACACACTTACAGCATTGGGGTTTGAACTTGAGTCTTGCATTTGCTAGGCAAGTAATCTACCACTTGAGCCATGCCTCTGCTCTTTTATGATTTAGTTATTTGTTCAGGGAGGGCCTTGTGTTTTGCTCGGGGCCATTCTCAGACCCGGATTTCCCTACCTATGGCCTCCAGACTAGTTGGGATTACAGGCATGTGCCACCATACTTGGCTTACTTATTGATATTAATTCTCTTTTTTTTTTTTTTGGCCTGGACAGGGTTCCAATATGGATTCTCCAAATCTTTGATTCTTGGGTGATTGGAATTACAGATTTCAGCCATCATATCTGGCTTAATTGATTAATTCTTAAGAGCAGATAAGTGATGGTAAACACTTAAAATTTTGGAAGTATACAGTTTTCTTATAAACTTTGTTCAGTTATTGCTATAATAATAGCATAAAAACTTTAGTGGGACTTTAGGTGCCTCTTAATTTGGACAATTCTTTTTATAACAAATTATTTGTACTAGAATATATTAATTGTACAAAGTAATTGTTTCATTGTGATATTTCCATACATGTGTACTATATAATTTAAACATATTTGCCCCCCCTTTATAACTTGAATGATTCTTAGTTTGGATTCTTTAGAATAATGAATGCTGTTTACCATTTTTTGGTCATTGACTTTTTTATTTCCTATTTTTATTTTTTAAACATTGTACTTGTGCAAAATATACATTAAATAATTATACCTGCTTAACTGTGTGACAGCGTCATGGTAAGTGCTGAGTAATTAGGATACCTCTGTGCACACAGGCCTGGGCTTCATCCAGTCTCACCAAGGCAATACAACAGAAAATAGTAACTATAATCCCTCTGTACATCACCTTTATAATAAAAACCAAAAAATTTTTTTTAATTCCCAAAGAAAACAGTAAGGCTGAAGCCATTTGAACAGGAAGTGCTCACCTGTTGCTGGAAAGATGGAAAGGATTTGCATAGGTAAGCAGCAGCATTGCACTGATCCAGAGAAATGTGAGTTTAAGATAACTACATAAGATTATAATAGAGTCCAGATGCCATAGTTGGTCTGCATGCTAAAAAAAACTTTCATTAGTCAGTGAATCTGTTATTGTAGTATAGACAATTTTGCTGACCTAAGAAGTATATTACTCATTCGGAATCTGGAAAGTAGATGAGACTTTTGAACAATGGGGTAGCAGTTTTTATACTTTAGAAATATTCATCTGATGATAAAGGGTCAAAGTTGAACTGAAAATGACAAAAGACTAGGGTCAGAATTGAAGCTATTCTAGGTGGGTCAGAAAATGTCTGAAAATCCATCCTCCTAGGTGTTTTGTGTGGCTGCTGTTCTTTCTTTGGTTGTTGTTACAAAAGACTATAAAAAGTAGATTTTCTTTCAAATAAAGGTTCATTGAACAAGGCCACAACACACAAGCTCCATATAGATTATGTATTAGGAGCTTAGAGTATATCAAAGAACAAATCAGGATCCCAGATCCCCTGGTACTCAAGGAAGAGAGCAGTGGTTTTCTCAGCCCTGTAGTACAGGTACATGAGAATCACCAAGGAAGACTTCAAATATACAAGTGCCCAAGTTCAACCTCTGGAGATTCTGATTTCCCCATCTTAGTTGTGGGGCATCTAAGCAAAGCTATATTCACCTTTAATTGCTTTAAATAATATCTCTGGGAAATTAAATGTTGAAGTATAGAAAAGTTGTAAAGATAGTACAGAAGTTTCTGTGTATCTTTCAACCAATTTAATGTTCCATCTTACGTAACTGTAGTCCATTTGTCAAAACTAAGAAGATAATTACATTCCCATTAACTTCACCAGTTTACTTTAGAATACTTCACCAATTTTTCTACTAATGTTCCATCCTTGCTTCAAGATATAGGATATGGCATTGTATTAGGGCATATTTAACTTTGGTTAGACAGAGCCTCAAAATCTTGCCTCAGCCTCCCAAGTACTAGATTATAGATTTGCACCACAACATTTTCCTTACCACATTTTTAAAGCTTTCAAGATGGTTCTAGTTGACTGGTTTGAGAACCAGTAATAATAGAGTAGGAAGTTACAAGGCTGTTTCCTTCCTATTTGCTACCCTCTTCTTTTTCTTTTTTTTACCACTAAGCCACCTTCCCAGCTCTACCCTCTTCTTTTTATTGTAGACACTCCCCCTCAGGGGATATTCATTATACAACCATGATTCACAACACATAATACTTCATAGGCACAAGCTGATTGGGCAATGAATAGCACTCCCATCCCACAGATGTGGGAAAAGCCTCAGGGAGGCTGGCACTCACCAAAAGTCACAACTGATGTACTCAGGGCCTTTTCATGATGATGCTTCATTGTTGGGATACTTTGGTCTCAATTTTATCTGCCGAAGTAGATCAACAGAAGGGAATCAATAAAATCTCAAGTTCTGATGGCAGTGTATGAAGAGAAATGCTGAAAGATTTGCCTATGTACTATGTACAAGGAGTACCAACATGCAAAATAAACCAAGTAGCTGGAGAAGGGTGTAGTGCACTAGAAGAAGTGGTTCTTTCTACCTTTTAGGCCTCTGTCATCTCTACCATTCCCATTTTTTTTTTTTGGGGGGGGGTCCAGTCGTGGGGTCTGAACTCTGGGCCTGAGCACTGTCCTTCAGCTCTTCAGCTCAAGGCTAGCGCTCTACCACTTGAGCCACAGCGCCACTTCTGGCTCTTTTCATTTTGCTTATGTGGTGCTGAGGAATTGAACCCAGGGCTTCAGGCATGCAAGGCAAGCACTCTACCACTGAGCCATCTTCCCAGCCCCCCCTCCCATTCTTGTTTAAATTCTTTTTTCTTTCTGTTTTTTTTTCTTGGCTTAGAACCTTGAAATTAATAGAGTTAAAATTCTACAAGAATCTATCTGAGCCCCGCATTGTTAACACTCTCATAGTAGGTACAAGTGTTGTTTTTAAAAAAATTGATGGCACTATATGACGTGTGAGAAGGTTCAAACTTAAGTTTCAAAATGGTCATTACCTAAAGGAGAGGTTGAATCACTTCACTCTATTGAGAAAGGCTTCTTGATACAAGGCCACATGTATCAGTCATTTAGCTGGCTTTCTTTTTTTCTTTCTTTCCCGTGGGGCCTGAACTCTGGGCCTGAGGGCTATCCCACAGCTCTTCGACTCAAGGCTAGCACTCTACCACTTGAGCCACAGCATCACTTCTGACTTTGTCTGCTTATGTGGTACTGAGGAATCAAACCTAGGGACTCATGCATACAAGGCAAGCACTCTACCACTGAGCTACCTTCCCAGCCCCATTTAGGTGGTTTTCTAAGGCAGATTCTAGGTCCTACCTGCAGAGAAGGAATTAAGCCTTTAAAAGTTAGAAAAAGCATTCTCATCTCTGAGTATGTTTATTTGGGTGTGTTCCCTTCTTTCTCTGATAAGCTTTGTTAAGGGTCAGGGCTGGGAAGGTGGCTCAGTGTAGAGTGCTTGCTTTGCATGCATGAGGCCCTGGGTTCAATTCCTTAGCACCACATAAGCAAAAAGAAAAAAGCCGGAAGTGGCGCTGTGGCTCAAGTGGTAGAGTGCTAGCCTTGAGCTGAAGAGCTGAGGGACAGTGCCCAGGCCCAGAGTTCAGGCCCCACGACCAGACCCCTCCCCCCCCCCAAAAAAAAAAAAAAAAGAAAAATTGCTAAGGGTCCGTCAAGAAGATCTTCACTAGCCATACAATGGACAAGGGTCTCATATCTAAAATATACTTGGAACTCAAAAAATTAAATCCCCGGGCTGGGAAGGTGGCTCAGTGGTAGAGCGCTTGCCTTGCATGCATGAAGCCCTGGATTCGATTCCTGAGCACCACATAAGCAAAAAGAAAAAAGCAGGAAGTAGCGCTGTGGCTCAAGTGGTAGAGTGCTAGCCTTGAGCTGACGAGCTAAGGGACAGCGCCCAAGCCCAGAGTTCAGGCCCCATGACCAGACCCCCCCCCCAAAAAAAAATTAAATCCCCCAACAACAAATCCTCAAAGAAACAACTGCAGATAAATAAGTGGGCTAAAGACTTAAAGAGAAACTACTCTGAAGAGGAAATAAGAATGGCAAATAGACACATGAAGAAATGCTTAATTTCTCTAGCCATAAAAGAAATGCAACTCAAAACAACATTGAGATTCCACCTCAATCCAGTTAGAATGGCTATAATCAAGAAATCTTATAACAATAGATGCTGGAGGGGATGTGGTCAGAAGGGAACCCTACTGCATTGTTATTGGGAGTGTAAAATTGTTCAACCACTTTGGAAAGCAGTATGGAGGTCTCTCAAAAGACTCCACAGAGCTCCCCTATGACCTAGCAATCCCACTTTTGGGCATTTACCCAAATGATCACAAGACCATATTAAGGCCACTGTAAGGTCTACTCCTGGATGGCGAGCAGACTCGAGCAGACTCCACCCTCCTTGCAGCAAAGTCTCCACCCAGTACCTGCATTACCTAGGCAACTGGCACACCTGGAAGAGGTCACACCTGCATCTGCTGAGGTCACATCTGAATTTGATGTGGCCACGCCTTTCTCTGCCCATACCCTAGATAAGGCCTCGCCCAGGCCCAGACTTGCTCTTTCCTAGCTCTCTTTCCCAGGCCTGTCCCAGCCGAGTGGAGGGCTAACATGGCCTGGTGGCAGCCAGAACGATCAATAAACCTACCCCTTACCTGAATACCACGTGCGTGGTGCTGTTCTTACTCGGCTACCTCTTTTTAAAAATCTAACAGCCACCAACACAACTATGTTTATTGCAGCATTATTTACCATTGCTAAGATATGAAACCACCCCAGATGCCCATCAGTAGATGAATGGATCAAGAAAATGTGATATATATATATATATATATATATATATATATATATATATACATATACATATATATATAATGGATTCTATGCCTCCATCAGAAAGAATGGCATCGCCCCATTTGTTAGGAAATGGAAAGACTTGGAAAAAATTATATTAAGTGAAGTAAACCAGGCCTAAAGAAACATAGGTCCCATGGTTTTCCTTATTTGCAATAACTAGTATATGTCTAGGACAAGCAGAAAAGATCAAAAGCTATGTACATATGACCAGGTAAGATGATGTTAAGTAAAATGAACCCCAAGATAGGGACACAATTTTTTTTTTCTTGCTGTTGTTTCTAACGTATTTATAATGTACTATGTAATTTTTTTTTTTTGTTTGCATGTTCCTCCCCCACGGTATAATCCCTGTTTTCACTGTATTTGATTCCGATGCCCTGCATCTTGTATATACACTTCTCTAATTTGGGGAGGGGAAGGGAAAAAAAAAACAAAATGTTTAAATAAGGATACACAAACACACATAAAAACCCAAGAAAAATAAAAAAAAAACAAAAAAATAAAATGAAAAAAAAAAGAAATAGGGATACAGGATGACCCATTGTAACAATGAAATGTACAAGACAGTATGCTGAAAACTAACTTTACAAGTTGGAGGTGGGGAGTAGTTATGGAGGTGGGAGCGAAAGGATGGTAGGGGAAAAACAAAGGAGGAGGCAACAATGCTCTATAGGAAATGTAACTCATGTTACATGCTCATGTAACTGTAATCCCTCTGTACAACATTTTTACAATAAAAAAAGTACAAAAAAGCTAGAAAAATCAGATAAAACCGCAAAAACTTTATAGAAAACAAAAAGTACTGCACATATTATTAGTTTTCAGAGAATCTTTGCCTTTCAGAAAGATTGCAAACTGTTTCATTGGTGTCTTCAAGTACGCCTTTTGAGCTTCAGCATGTCACAGTTGCCATTACGTGCATTTGGTGTAATTACCAAACGTTTACCATGCCTTCCGGGAGGACAAATACCTCTTCTGCTTTCCACGAAGTGACTACCACGTTTAGCAATAGCGCCTTCTAGTGACAAGTGCAGCTATTTCCGTCCAGTTGTGACCCTGTGCAAAAGTGCCCAGATTCTCAAACTTGTTTTTCCAGTTGTCATAGGACAGGAGAAAAGAAAAAAAAAAGATTGTTGGCCCATACTTTTAAAAAGGTGTTCATTAACAATGATAATGATTTTATCCACATGCTATACTCATTAATAAACTTCATGTTAACGTCAGTTCCAGTGAGGCTTAGGCCACAAGTACTTTCCATTCATGGACACCCCTCCAGGCCCCCGACCCCGCGGCCAAGAGTGGAGCTCCCTTGTACAGCTATTAATCTGAGTGATTTACCTGGGATTCTTTCCTGAGAAATAATATTTTATTATACAAAAAGTGGAGAATATTGAGTATAGTCTCTTCCAAGGAGAACTTTGGATATTTAACATCCAAGTTCTTTTGTTCTATGACAATATACACAGCCTTTATTCCAAAAAAGGGGGGGGGGGAGGGTCATAGCCGGGCACTGGTGGCTCAGGCCCGTAACCCTAGCTACTTAAGTGACTTGAGATCTGAGGATCACAGTTGGAAGCCAGCCTGGACAGGAAAGTCCAGGAGACTTATCTCTTCATGAACTATCAAAAAACCGGAAGTAATCTGTGGGTCAAAGCAGTAGCCTTGAGAAAAAGAAAACGCTCAGCAACAGCACTCAGGCCCAGGACCGGCACACACACACAGGGTCGGGATCCTCCGTGGGCCTACAGGCCGCTGGTCACAAATAGACATCCACGCGTGTGACTCGTCCTGCGTCCACTCCTCTTGGAAAGCGCAGGAAAACTCCGAGCGCTCAGAGAGGGAACCACCCCAGCGGAGGGTGACCGGGCCGACACGGACACCGGGGCGGGGATCCCAACTCACACAAAGCCCCAGCGCCTAGCTAAGGCCTCCCCGCGGCCCGCGCGGCGCCGCTTCCGCGGACGTACCTTCCGGGTCCGCGCCATGGCGCAGCTACCGCGCAGGCGCCAGTTCTAGGGGGCGGAAGCGGAAGTCTGCGTGAGCGGCCGGGGCTTCTCACGGACTCCCAGACATGCGCGGCTTGGAGGAGGGGTTGGGACCTCGGCCCACAGCGACCCCATGTGGGTGCGCGAAGCCCGCCTTGGAGACAGGTAACATGTAGGAATCTGACGGTGCCGGGGCCGTAATCAGGAAAGACCTAAACCCGGCCGAGAGGGATGTACAATGTGAGAGCTGGGCCTAACGCAGATCAAGAGTCCTAGTTAGCTGAGGGGGTGGGGGCGGGAGGGTCACGTGGGCCGAGGACCACGTGACCATCTGACCCTGAGAGCATGACGTAACGGGGCACGTGGGATTCTGGCGGCGGGGAGGAGGGCGGGTATGTGTAGGAGCGGCGGGGCTTGGGCCCTGCCGCCCCTGCAGCCTGCTTTTCTTCCTGGGGAGCTCTCCCTGCTACTAAGAGCCCCCCGAATGTGCTTCCCGTTCTTGAGCTCATGCAACGTTCCACCTTCTTACGTCCTTCCAGGGACGCGCAAAGAGGACTGTAAAAAGAGAGAAGTGGAATGGATGTCACTTTCATTGATCCCAGCATAAGTGTAATAATGCGTGAGAAAATGTGCAGAGACTGATCTAGTGAGGTAGTTGGTCTGCTCCAGGGAGATCGAACGGGAGTCATGCCGATTAGGAATTAGTAAGTGCCCTGGAAGAGCGGCTAGGAAGGGAGAAAGGAAGAAGGAAAGCGGAGGGACTGGAATATAGGCATGTTTGTCCCTCTTTACTTACCTCTCTTTATAGAGAGTAGAACGTATTTTAGAAACCAGAGGAAGAGAATGAAAACAGCCGGCCAAATCCACTGTGTACCTTGGTTGTCTAACGTCCATATTTGTGGGAAAAGTGAAGACTCCACTGTTTTATAACGTTTTTAAGATCTCAGTGTCCACATAGTTTTTCCATGGGAGCTTTCATTAGAAAGGTTTGTATTTTGTTTTGGAGATGTGCTCCTGTGTAAACAGTTCCATTATTGGACATGTCAGATATTGGCAGTTTTGCTTGTTTTAAATGTAAATTCATACTTGGGCACCCGTGGCTCACGCCTGTAATCCTAGCTACTCAGGAGGCTAAGATCTGATGATTGGGGTTCAAAGCCTGCCCAAGCAGGAAAGTCCATGAGAAACCACCAGAAAACTGAAAGTGGCACTGTGGTCCAAGTGGTACAGCGCTAGCCTTGAGCTGAAGAGTTGAGGGCAACCGCCGAGGCCCGGAGTTCAAGCCCCGCAACCCCCTGCCCCCCAAAAAAAAGTAACTTCATGAAACTGAGGTCTTATGTTCCAATTGTTAAATTTAAATTTTCTTTAAGTTTTCATTACTTGGTCAAAGTGCTCATTAGAAAAAGAATTTGAGCTGGTGCTGGACACCCGTAATCCTAGCTACTCAGTAGTTGAGACCTGAGGATCACAGTTTGAGGTCAGCCCAGGAAGGAAAATCCATGAGACTCTTCAGTTAACCACCAAAAAGTCAGAAGTGGAGTTGTAGCTTTGAGCAGAAAGGTCAGGGACAGCACCCAAGCCCTGACTTCAAGCCACAGGTCACACACACACACACACAACACACACACACACACTTCAGCCCTTGAGCATGGCTCAAGTAGTAGCCCTGAGTTCACATCTCCAGTACCACTTTCCAAAAAAAAAGGATGTTTAAGATATCCGTTTCATAGGTACAGGATGAAGATTAAAACAACAGTATCAATAGTAAAAAGCATGCTAGTACTGGTGCTTGAACTTGGCCTAAGCAGTATCCCTTGCTTTTTTACTCAAGGCTGGTACTCAACCACTTAAGCCACAGCTCCACTTACTTTTTTGAGTGGTTATTTGGAGATAAGAGTCTCAGGGGGACTTTCATGCTTGGGCTGGTTTCTTCAAAGCTTAGATTTCAGCCTCCTGAGTAGCTAAGATTACAGATTATCTGTAAGACTACTACCAGCTAAGATAACCTGTACCCAACTGTACAGTGCCTTTATATTGACTCTTTGAAGAACTCAATCAGTAAGGCTTTCGTAAAATATAGGGATGAAGTTACCTGTAAATCCAAATGGGCTAGGTATGGTGGTTCATACCTGTAGTCCCATCTACTGGGGAAACTAAGACAGGAGGATCACTTGAACCTGGGAGTTATAGGCCAGCCTGGGAAATATATCAAGATTCCCGTCTCCGGACTAGGAAGGTGGCTCAGTGGTACAGTGCTTGCCTCACATGCATAAGGCCCTGGGTTCGATTCCTTTGTACCACATAAGCAGAAAAGGCCGAAGTGGTGCTGTGGCTCAACTGGTAGAGCACTAGCCTTGAGCTGAAGAGCTAAGGGACAGTGCCCAGACCCAGCGTTCAGGCTCCACGACTGGAAAAAAAAAGATTCCCATTATGCCCAGCACTGGTGGCTCATGCCATAATCCTAGCTTCTCAGGAGGCTGAGATTGGAGGGTTGTGGTTCAGAGCCAGCCCATGCAGAAAAATACGTGAAATTCTTATCTCCAATTAACTATCAGAAAAACAGAAGTGTAGCTATGGCTCAAAGTGGTAGAGCGCTAGCCTTAAGGGTGCTTGGGGACAGCACCTATACACTGAGTTCAAGCCACACCAGCCACAGGAAAAACAAAAAAGATTCCCATTTCAGACATTACCACTACCACCACCGCCAACAACAAAAATGTTTTGAGACAGTGTTTCATTATGTAGCCCAGTCTGCAGTAGAACATGCTCTGTGTAGCCTAAGCTGGCCTTTAACTTTGCATCTTCCTGCCTCATCAACTCAAGTACTGACATTATAGGCATGTACCACCATGCCTGGTCACCAGTAATTTTTAGCTAGTAGATTAAAAATTATGAAATCAGAGAATCATGTTTTCTTATATCTTCATGTGACTCTTTGACTCATGATTTCTTTTTTTTTTTTCTTTTCTTTTCTTTTTTTTTGCCAGCCCTGGGCACTGTCCTTGAGCTTCTTTTGCTCAAGGCTAGCACTCTACCACTTGAGCCGCAGCACCACTTCTGGCTCTTTCTGTGAATGTGGTACTGAGGAATTGAACCCAGGGTTTCATGCATGCTAGGCAAGCACTCTTCCACTAAGCCACATTCTCAGCTGACTAATGATTTCTTATCTAATTTTCTTCTCTAGGTAATCTTTTAACTGAGCCAATAGGCTACTTGGAATCCTGTTTCTCTGCCAAAAACGGTACCCCAAGGCAGCCATCCATTTGTAGTCATTCACGGGCTTGTCTGAGGATTAGAAAGAACATCTTTAATAATCCTGAGCATTCCTTGATGGGTCTAGAACAGTTTTCTCATGTTTGGTAAGTTGTGTTATTGTTATACCAGAGTTGCTTCCAGGGCATCTTTGGAGGCCCTAATTGTGATGGGTCCCTTCTGCTGTAGGTGTTTGATTCTTCCCATGGCCATTATGTTGACCAAGAGTTAGCATACTATATATAGCCTGTGGACCAAGTATCGCCCTCTGCTTGTTTTTTTTTTTTTTTTTTTGGGTCCGGTCGTGGGGCCTGAACTCTGGGCCTGGGTGCTGTCCCTCAGCTCTTCAGCTCAAGGCTAGCACTCTACCACTTGAGCCACAGCGCCACTTCGGCTTTTTTCTTTTTGCTTATGTGGTGCTGAGGAATCGAACCCAGGGCCTCAGGCATGCAAGGCAAGCGCTCTACCACTGAGCCAACTTCCCAGCCCAGCCTCTGCTTGTTTTTGTAAGTTAGTTTTGAAAGTCTCACAGCCAAGCCCATGGTCTGTCATCATATTTGGCTGCCACTGTGCAGCCTGGCTGTAACAGCATAATTGAACAGTTGCAGCAGTAACCTGCTGACCTCAAATTACTATCCGACCTTTTATAGAATAAGATATACTCTTCCCAAAAGACAAAAATCTTAGAAATCTGGATATTACTTGTGTTATTTGCAGTTCTCTCTAACATTTGCAGTCTAAATTTGTCTTATTTTACTGGTGGAGACCTAAAATGAAGTGTTAATTCTGAAATAGTCTTCATCTTAATTTGAGCACAAAGTAAAACAAAAACCCATGAGTGTTATGATCTAGTTTTTATATAATCTTGGTTAAATTACCTAAATGAAAAGCATTGTTGATTTTTAAAAAAAGGGTATTCAGAAATAGCCTTTTTTTCTCCTTACCCTTCCTATTTGCTTTCTCTCACTCTTCCCCACAGGATTCTGCAAAGATGATCATTATTACCTGTTTGGGGTAGTTCCCATCATACTTGACCTTTTATCTTTTTTCCTTTTTTCTTTCTTTTTTGTTACTCATGGGACATGAACTCAGGGCCTGGGCATTGTTCCTGAGCTTTTACACACAAGGCTAGTGCACTACCACTTTGAGCCACAGCTCCACTTCCAGTTTTCTGGTGGTTAATTGGAGATAAGAGTCTCATGGATTTTCCTGCCCAGCCTGGCTTCTTTTTTTTTTTTTGGTCGGCCGTGAGGCTTGAACTCTGGGCCTGGGCACTGTCCCTCAGCTCTTCAGCTCAAGGCAAGTGCTCTACCACTTGAGCTATAGCGCCACTTCCGGTTTTTCTGGTTGTTATTGGAGATAGGAGTCTCACGGTCTCTCCTGCCCGGGCTGGCTTTGAACCACGATCCTCAGATCTCAGCCTCCTGAGTAGCTAGGATTACAGGCGTGAGCTACCAGCACCCGGCTTATATTTCAGGGTTTTGTTTTTTTTTTGTCGGTCGTGGGGCTTGAACTCTGGGCTTGGGCGCTGTCCCTCAGCTCTTCAGCTCAAGGCGAGCGCTCTACCACTTGAGCTACAGGGCCACTTCCCAGCCTGGCTTCTAACTCAGTGCTCAGATCTCAGCCTCCTGAGTAGCTAGGAATACAGGCATGAACCATCAGTGCCTGGCTCTTTTTTTCCCTTTTAATAAATGTAGAGCTGTAAATATGTTTAGAGTGAATACGTGATTTTAAAATGGAACATATTTTCTTTCTTTTTTTTTTTTTTTTTGTCGGTCGTGGGGCCTGAACTCTGGGTCTGGGCTCCAGCTCAAGGTTAGTGTTCTACCACTTGAGACACAGTGCCACTTCCGGCTTTTTCTGCTTATGTGGTGCTGAGGAATCGAATCCAGGGCCTCATGCATGCAAAGCAAGCATTCTTACCACTGAGCCACCTTCCCAGCCCCTGGAACATATTTTATTAACATATGTATCTCAGAGAACCTTTGTGGCATTATATATGACCTGGGTGCTGTCCTTTGAGCTTTATTGCTCCAGGCCAGTACTACCACTTGAGCCATATCTCACTTCCAGCTTTTTTGGTGGTTAATTGGAGATAAGAGTCTCATGGACTTTCCTGCTTGGGCTGGCTTCAAACTGATATCCTCAAAGTTCAGCCTCCCGAGTAGCTAGGATTACAAGTGTGAGTCACCACCAGTGCCTAGCCAGAGTTAACCTATTTTTGCTTTAATCACTGTCTGTTATTGCAAAGTATGGATGTTACCATAATTTGACCACACCCTTGTCACTGGAGAGTATTTGGAGATTATGAGAAGACTGTGACCAACCCCTTTGTCTCCATAAATGAGGTATTTTTATCAATAGAATATTAGAAGTGGTTGTATTGGGCCAAAGGAAGGGTGTAAATATTTATAATTTTGGAGAGTTACTGCTAAACTGCCCTGTAAAATTAACCAATGTATACTTCAACAGTGTATGCAAAGATCTTTTCTCTGCATGCTCCCCAACACAGTATATCATTGGCATTTAATATTTTTGCCTGATGGGGGAAATAATATTTTGTTTTTCAGTTTAATCTCTTAATTATTAGGTTCAATATTTTTTCATAGGTGTGCTAGCTGTTTAGAATTCCTTTATGAATTGCCTATTCACGCATGTTCTTTGCTTAGTGTCCTGTATTGGGTTGTCCTTTATGTAGAAGTCATTTGTTTTTTTGTTTTTTAAATTTTATTTTATTTGTGAACATACTGTACAGAGGGGTTACAATTACATGGGCAAGATAATGCATACATTTCTTACCAAGCATTGCAGCCTCCTCCTTTGTTTACCCTTTTCCTCCCTTCCCAGCCTCCTCCCCCCCCCATTCCTTCCCCACCCCCCTGTAGAAGTCATTTGTATACCACATGTACTAATTCATTTACTGTATGTAGCAAATATTTTTCTCTTAGGCTGACATCTTTTTTTTTTAGGGGGGGTGGTTCCAGTCGTGGGGCCTGAACTCTGGGCCTGGGCGCTGTCCCTCAGCTCTTCAGCTCAAGGCTAGCTCTCTAACACTTGAGCCACAGTGCCACTTCTGGCTTTTTTCTTTTTGCTTATGTGGTGCTGGGGAATCGAACCCAGGGCCTCATGCATGCAAGGCAAGCACTCTACCACTGTGCCACCTTCCCAGCCCCAAGTTTTTTTTTCTTTTTGAGATAGGATCTTACCATGTAGTCCAAGTTTATCACAGACGAAAGTGCTCTTAGCCACCTGAGTGCTAAGATTATCAGCATGTACCATTGTACCCTCGTTAGTTATTTAAGATGTATAAGCTGCAGTTTCTTCATTCTTACAGTGAATGTTAAGATTACATGAAATGTCTAGCAAACTGCTTGATAAGCATCAGGCCCATAGGAAGTCCTATTTCTTCAGGTGTATGACATGTCTCTTCAGTTCCCACTGTATGCCAGTTATTGTGCAAGGCACAAAGGATGTAGAGATGACTGTCTTCCTTCAAGGAAGAAGAATGGTGTTATTTTCTTCCTGACTGATGAGTTGCATTTAAAACCTTTCTGTTTTCATTACCCCCCTCAGATCATAATCAAATAATTTGTGCTCTTAATCAGTGGTTTCATTTATTTTCAATAGGATTTTGTTTGTTTTTCACAAAAATGGTCACTTGAGCTACAAGGCAAAGGTGCAGCCCCCCAGGCTGAACGGTGCAAAGACTGGGGTGTTTTCAACACGGAGCCCACATCGTCCAAATGCAATAGGACTGACCCTGGCCAAGCTGGAAAAGGTGGAAGGTAACCCACTTCATTTCTGCTTTTACCCCAGAAGTCTTATGAAATCATCACATTTTCAGAGCTAGCTGCTGTTTAAACAAACACCAGTGGGAAATATACCACAGTTGTTAACTTGAAGACATTATGATTTTCTTTCTTTTTGTCAGTTGTGGGCTTTGAACTCTAGGCCTGGTTGCTATCCCTGCGCTCTTCAGCTCGAGGTGAGCACTCTGCCACTTAAGCTACAGTGCCACTTCCAGTTTTCTGGTAGTTAATTAGAGATAATAGTCTCACGGACTTTCCTGCCCTGGCTGGCTTTGAACTGTGATCCTCAGATCTCAGCCTTCTGAGTAGCTAGGATTACAGGCATGAGCCATCAGCACCCAGCTTGGAGTTTTGTTTTTATCATTCCAGTGTCAAAAATGATTAAACCATTAAGTTGTTTTTAATTTTTTTTTTGGTGGTACTAGGCTTTCAACTTAGGGCCTGTGCTTGCTGGGCAGTATCTCTACTATCTGAGCTGTGCCCTATGCCCTACGTGTGTGTGTGTGTGTGCGTGTGTGTGTGCGTGTGTGTGTGTGCGTGCGTGCGTGCGTGCGCGTGCGTGCGTGTGTGCGTGCGTGCGTGCGTGCGTGCGTGTACATGCTGGTCCTGGGGTTTGAACTCAGAGCCTGACCACTTCTCTACTATGGTTACTTTTTCTCAAGGCTAGTGCTCTACCACTTGACTTTATTTATTTTTGCCAGTCCTATGGCTTGGTCTCAGGACCTGGCCACTGTTCCTGAACTTTGTGCTCAAGGCTAGCACTCTACCACTTGAGCCACAGTGCCATTTCCAGCCTTTTCTATTTATGTGGTACTAAGGAATCAAACCAAGCTTAATGCATGCTAGGCAAGCACTCTACCACCAAGCCACATGCCCAGCCCTACCACTTGAGCCACAGCTCTGCTTTTGGCTTTTTGGTGGTTAATTGGCAATAAGGGTCTCATGGACTTTCCTGCCAGAGTTAGCTTTAAATCTTGATTCTCAGATCTCAGCCTCCTGAGTAGCTAGGACTATAGGCATAAGCCACCAGCATCTGGCCCCAAAGCCTTTTTTGCTTTTGTTGTTGGCTAGAGGCCCCCTTTAGTTTCTGAAGGTAGCTAGCAGATCATTGCCCATGTAGGCCTTTCTGGCAGGCCTCCTTACTACATCGGTGCAGGTAGAACCTCTCAAATGAGACTATTAGATTGTAGTAGTCTTACATGAGGACATAATCCCTGAAGTTTGTCACAACTCTTTTTTCATGGTCTATTGGCTAGAATCAAATTGCACTGGAGGAGGGAATACTCAGGGCAAGAGCAGCAGGGGATGGGGATCCAGCTAGCAATGAGAGTATGTTTGCCCCAGTGGAAACCTTTCTTGGTCTCTCAGCAATGTACTAAAGACTATCATTTGCCTAGAACAGTCAGAAATACCAGTGATACAAAGTCCACTCCATCTATGCTCAGGGCCTGCTTGCTGTCTACATACAGGCAGGCCATTGCAAAAGGGGATGTAGTAGCAGTTTATGACAGGGTCCACTGTGAGGCACCCAGAAGGAATGCTTGTGTTTGGGAGAGCCAGAAAGACTTGAAGAAGAGAGATCTTGTGAGAGTCTCAAAAAACAAGTAGGGTTTTGTCAGGTAAAGTAGAGGCTGGGTTTCCAGGTAAAAAGGGAAACAGATGTTGACAGTATATGTAGAGAGAAATGTGAGTGGACTGAGTTGGAGTATCATTCTATTCTGGGTTTTTTTTTTTTTTTTGGTTGGTCATGGGGCTTGAACTCTGGGCCTGGACGCTGTCCCTGAGTTCTTCAAGCTCAAAGACAGTGCTCTACCACTTGAGCTACAACGCCACTTCTGGTTTTCTGGTGGTTAATTGGAGATAGAGTCTCATGGACTTTCCTGCCCGGGCTGGCTTTGAACCACAATCCTCAGACCTCAGCCTCCTAAGTAGCTAGGATTATAGGTATGAGCCACCAGTGCCCGGCTTATCATTCTATTCTCTTATTCATGGCACTGTTCTTTACTGTGAATGCTTGTAAGATGATTTTTTTTTCACCTTCCAGGTGGAGCTATATACCTGTCTGGCATTGACATGATAGATGGCACACCTGTGCTAGATATAAAACCCTACATAGCTGATTATGACTCCCCACAACATTTGATGAAGCCCTTAGGGGATTTTAATCTACAGAATAACCGACTTAAACCAAGGACTATGTCCCAGTCTTATGGCAAGACTGATAGCTGTGACCAGCGACAGCTCTCAGGGTCTGATGGACCCCAGCCCTCCCATATAACTAATGAGAAACATAGACATCCTGAAGATGGAGCTCCAGAAGAAAATGTCCCAAAACACAGCAGCACAACGAAAATCCAGCAAACCTGGACTGAACACAGAGAGATAGCTGTGGATTTTGGTTTGGAATCAAGAAGTAGTGAGGGTCGGACTGTGGCAGAACAGTTTGGCCCACCAGGTCAGGAGAAGACCCTTCTGGAGGAAGGTATAGATAAGAGGCCAAGGAGTATGGAAAGCGCCTTGATCCTGCAAGAAAGCAGCATGAAGACACAGCATGTGACTCCTTCCTGCCCTGCCTGGGTAGCTGACAGAGCATCCCACAGCGAGGTTCCTGCCTGGGTGAAGGAGGCCCCTGCAGCCTCTCTGCAAGTCCGGTTTACTCCTCATGCTGAGATGGATCTTGGACAGCTCAGCCTAGGAGGTGAACCAGGTATCTTCAGTTTCCTAGATTTGAATGGCAGATACAGGGGATGGTATTTTTGGTTGGTATTTTGTTTTTGTGTTGTGGTATTGGAGATCTAACCCAGGGTCTCACCGTGCCAGGCAAGCCCTACCTCTGAGTAGCACCTCCAGCCTGAGAAGTGAGCTTTATTTATATTTATAGCTTTATTTCAGCCATGTTTGTTATTTCTAGTATTCAAGCAATTCTATCATAAGATGACTTTCAGACAGCATTCAGAAGCTGAGTTGTGCTTATTCTGTACTTAGGTATCTCTCTCTTTTTTCTTTTTTAAAAATATTTTTTATTGTAAAGATTCTGTACAGAAGGATTACAGTCACATGAGTAAGGTTATGAGTACATTTCCTATCAAGCATTGTTACCCGCTTCTCTCTTCTTTCTTTATCTTTTTCCCCCTTTTTTTGTGTTACTCATTTTTTGTTTGCTTTACTATATGACTAAAGAAAGATTTATTCTAACACTCAGCAGGCCAACAGTTCAGCCTTTGGCATAGAGGAGCCCACAGGAAAAGAAGTGTCTCTTAGCATAGTACTTGCCTAACAAACATGTATTTTCCTGCAGAAGAGAGAGGCCACTGGGCCTTTTGTGGAGTCCATTTAGTATGTGGTTCTCAGCACATGTTATTTGGCTTCCCCAGGCCATAGCAAATACTAGAATGAAGGGAGCAGCTATTAGGAAGTGGGAGGGAATGGTGATGCCAGTAAGAAGTAGTTGGTTGCTAAGGAGTAGGCAGATTTCCAAAAGGCAGAAAGCTATTTGTGTTGCCTTTCAGCAGAGGGCTAACATAGCTATGTGAAGAGGAAAAGGGCCAGGGATAGTGGCTCACACTTGTAATCCAATGCTGGATTACTCAGAAGGATTGCAAGTTTCATGTCAATGGATGCCACATACTGAGCCTATCCTACTAAACAACAACAGGATATACATTCATTAATTCTACATTTGTTCACTGAACTTCTAGGTACTAGATACTATTCTTAGGATACAGAAGTAAAGAAGATAGATTAAAAAAAAAATAGGAAGTGGCGCTGTAGCTCAAGTGGTAGAGTGCTAGCCTTGAGCTAAGAGCGCAGGGAGAGCAGTCAGGCCCATTCAAGCCCCACGACCGGCAAAAAAAAAAAAAATCCCTACTTTCATGCTTCATGGATTTTCTATTGTAATGAAGATGGAGAGAGACAAGCTAAAACCATAGAAAACACACTATTGTACAAAACATACAAAAACATGACTTCATATGAGAAGGTGAGGGTGGCTATAGGAAAATGAAAAAGAATAGTGTGCAGGGTTGGGTGATGCATGTTTTTTCGTTTTTGTTTTTTGTTTGTTGGTTGTGGATCTTGAACTCAGGGCCTGTACACTATCCTTGAGCTCCTTTGTGTTCAAGGCAAGTGCTCTACCACTTGAGCCACAGCGCTCCTTCCAGTTTTTGAGTGGTTAGGAAGTAAGACTGTAATGGGAACTTTTCTGCTCAACTGGCTTTGAACTGCAATCCTCAGATCTCAGCCTCCTGAGTAGCTAAGATTACAGGCATGAGCCACTGGCTCCAGGTTAAGGTGTTGTTTTAAGTAGGTGTCCAGAGTAGCTCAGAAGAGACACATGTGAGCAAAAATCTGAGATGAAAGAGGCAGCCTGTCCAGAGGAAGACATGCCAGCTGAGGGGCAGCTGGTGCCCAGACCAGGGTGGAGGTGCATAGCACCTAAGGTCACAAGACAGAGCAGACTGAGAAAGGGCAGAGTGGAAGGAGCCGGGGCAGAGAGGCTACAGGAAGAATATGAGGGCACATGGGACTTCATAGACCATTGGAAGGGCTTGAAATTTTACCTTGGGAGAAGTGGAAAGTTTAACCAACCTTAACAGTAGATTTTTCCTGATTTGTTTTGTTTGTGTGTGTGCCAGCCCTGGGGGTTGAATTCAGTGTCTAGGTGCCATCTCTGAACTTTTGTACTCAAGATTAGCACTCTGCCACTTGGAGTCACAGCTCTACTTCTGGCTTTTTGGTGGTTAATTGGAGATAAGAGTCTCATAGACTTTCCTGCCCAGGTGGATTTGAACTGTGATCCTCAGATCTCAGCCTTCTGAGTAGCTGGAATTACAGGTTTGAGCCACTAGTGCCCAGCTACATTTTTTTTTTTTTTTTTTTTATGAGACTCAAGGTTTTATACGTGCTAAGCAAGTGCGCTTTCATGTTTGTCTTTGAACTCTCCCTAGTTTTCATGCCTTAGAGCCTTAGTGATTTGTATAACCTGAGGCTGTCAATCCAGCCCTTTGCTATTCCCTCCCTGGCTAGTGTTCTAGGTGTGATTTTTTTTGGGGGGGGGGTCCAGTTGTGGGGCCTGAACTCTAGGCCTGGGCGCTGTCCCTCAGCTCTTCAGCTCAAGGCTAGCACTCTACCACTTGAGCCACAGTGCCACTTCCAGCTTTTTTGTTTTTGCTTATGTGGTGCTGAAGAATCAAACCCAGGGCCTCAGGCATGCAAGGCAAGCGCTCTACCACTGAGCCACTTTCCCAGCCCGTCTAGGTGTGATTTTTGAGAATACTGGCACTGTTATGTGTTTCCTATACCATGTCTCTGTTCAGAGAAAAAAGAAACAACGAAATAGAAGTCTATAATAGGTGTAGAGAAAATGGCACTTGGATCGAAAATGAAAGTTTCCTTCTCCTATTTTGTATACTTAACTGAAAAATCCCACCATGATGTTTCACTCAGTGACATAAAGACCTAGGCTACATGAGTTCAATCTGTAACAGTAAATACCAGTTAATGGTAACATTCTCTGTAGTGACTGAGATTTTAAAATCCTGTTCTTTTTTTTTTTTTGTCAGTTGTGGGGCTTGAACTCTGGGCCTGGGCACTGTTCCTCAGCTCTTCAGCTCAAAGCTAGCGCTCTACCACTTGAGCCATAGTGCCACTCCCAGCCTTTTCTGTTTATGTGGTGCTGAGGAATTGAACCCAGGGCCTTGTGCATGAGAGGCAAGCACTCTACCACTGAGCCACCTTCTCAGCCCATAAACCTGTTCATTTTAATTGATGTGAAGGGAGCCAGCACATTTCATATTGAAATTCACTGTAGTTAAAAAAAAAGTAGATGCATGATTTTGATCACCAACTTCTGTTCTTCTTTTTGCAGGTGCTGGAAAAAAGTCATTTAAATATTTTCAGTCAGCAGAGGAAGCCAAGTGTACCATCCAGGCCGTGCTGTCAGCTGATCCCCGGTCTGTGTATCGGCGGAAGTTCTGCCAGGACCGTCTTTTCTATTTTACTGTAGACACAGCACATGTTACTTGCTGGTTTGGTGATGGTTTTGCAGAGGTTCTAAGGATCAAGCCAGCTTCTGAGCCCATTCAGATAACTGACCCTGAGGAGTCCTTGGTGTCTTTGTGATCTTAAGAGACTTCATGTCTTTGGAGTAGCCTCTTCAACCTTTGAACATGACTTCTGGTTTCCTGTTTAAGCTAATGATGTATTTACTTTGTATTTACTTTGTAGAACCATGCAACACTTAGTCATCTTCCTGCTTTGATTGATTGAGACTGTTCAAAATATTTATTTGAAAAAAGGTATTTAGTAAACTTAATTAAGACAAGAAACTAATCACCATATATATATTTTTTTAACTTGCTAATATACAAGAATTAAAAAGTGATAACTGTCTTGGTAATTTCCAAAAGTTGATTGTTGTTGACACTTGTTAGAGTTAAGCAGAGATCATTCTAGCATGGACTTTAAGTCAGTTGATCTGTTTAACAATTCACTTGGTTTTCTTGTCTGGAACAAAGCTATTTTATTCTAAATTGAACTGAGTTACAGTATCTTAGGAAACTAGCAAAAAATAAGTGGTATGAAGATCTTGAGAGATTTAACTCCTGTGTTTCAGAGACACTCTCTCTCTCTCTCTCTCTCTCTCTCTCACACACACACACACACACACACACACACACACACACACACACACACACACACACACACACACACACACACACACACTTAATCCTGATTCCAAGGTAAACACTCAGATTTCTTTGGGTGTCTTTGTAGCAATCAAAAAAGTCATTATTGATTTATTTCTTATGTGGTCTGAGACTGTTTGTTGTATTAGGTTTTGGTGGTAAAATGAGATAAACAAGATGCAGTTTTTGTTGTAAGTCATGGGTTGTACAAGATGTAATACATAAGCAAATTAGCACATCATGCTTGATAAACACATAATTGACTCTCCACAACTCTTGTATCATGTAGGAAGCAGTGGGAAGATATTGTAAGAATGTATTGCCTATAGGTGATTTTTAATGAGACGATCTAAGATCATTGTAATTTATGATCAGTATATCCAAATTAGACACCTCTATGGACATGATACAAACTTTCCTAGTCAAAACTGTAGATCTCAGAGCTGAAGGATCATGGCTTAGAAACAAAGCCCTGCCTGTAGATACTTGTGTAGTCCCTTGTGCTGCAGATATTGCACTCCTAAGCCAGACTGATCATGGTTGTTGTCTCTGATGCTTCTTAGAGTGTCTTAAATGTGAGTCTTCTAAGACCTTTAGTTTGAAATAACTACGGATTTGTAGGAAGCTGGAAAAAATAGAAAATAAATAGTAAAGAAAAAGTTCCTGCTACTCAGAAGGTTGAGATCTGAGGATTGTGATTCAAAGCCAGCCGAGGCAGGGAAGTCCAGTGATTTGCTTATCTCCATTTAACCACCAGTAAAGCAGAAGTGGTGCTGTGTGGCTCAAAGTGGTGGAGCTCTAACCTTGTGCAAAAAGACCTCAGGGACAGTACCCAGGTCCCGAGTTCAAGCTCCATGACTGACAAAAAAATAAAATAAAAAGTAAAACTAAAAGGAGTTGTAAAGACTGAAAAGAGCAAGAAAAAAGGAGGATGAGGAAGCTTATTTATTCCTTTTTGTGTTAGAAATGTTTTCAGAAAGCAAGTGGGAAATCCTCTTCTCGCTAAAATAAGACCTGCACCTTTCCTTTTTGGTGCCTGTAGGGGGAGCCCTTGATAGCTTGCTTGCTTATTTATTTATTTATTTATTTTCACCAGCTTACAGAGAAATTCAAAATTTCAAGCTGTTTGGGTAATTTTTCATTTGGTACACCTGCTTCAGTTTTGTTGAACAGTAATTTCTGTAAAAAATGCTGATGTGGGCTGTGGACATGGCTCAAGTAGTAGAGTGCTTTCCTAGTAAGTGCAAGGTTCTTTGTTCAATTCCTAGTACGGGTAAAGGGAGCTAGAGAATGCTGATGTATGTCAACCACATAAAAGAAGAGATCACAGGGGCTGGGAAGGTGGCTCAGTGGTAGAGCACTTACCTTGCATGCATGAGGCCCTGGGTTTGATTCCTCAGCACCACATAAGCAAAAAGAAAAAAGCCGGAAGTGGCGCTGTGGCTCAAGTGGTAGAGCGTTAGCCTTGAGCTGAAGAGCTGAGGGACAGCGCCCAGGCCCAGAGTTCAGGCCCCACGACTGGACCCAAAAACAAAACAAAACAAAAGGGTAAAATTCTGTCATTTGCAGCAATTTGGCTGGAACTGGAGGCCATTATATTAAGTGGAAAAAAAAGCCAGACAAAGAAAGACAAATATCACATGTTCTCATTAATTTGTTTTCAAGGTAAAAAGTTGGTGATGATATAGAAGTGGACTAGACTTAGTAGTCAGTACGAAAGGCTGGGAGTGCTGGGGAGAATTGTCTGGATAAAGATTATTACATTGCATTTACATTGGAGGAGAAGGTTCTGGTGCTCTGTAGCACAGAGTGATTATAATCCACAACAGTTTATTAGGCACTTCAGAATAACTAGAGAAGACTTTAGAGGTTTGGTTTTTTTTTTGTTTGTTTTTTTGTTTTTTTTTTGTCCAGTCATGGGGCCTGAACTCTGGGCCTGGGCACTGTCCCTCAGCTCTTCAGCTCAAGGCTAGCGCTCTACCACTTGAGCCACAGCGCCACTTCTGGCTTTTTTGTTTTTGCTTATGTGGTGCTGAGGAATCGAACCCAGGGCCTCAGGCATGCAAGGCAAGCGCTTTAACCACTGAGCCACCTTCCCAGCCCCTTGTTTTGTTTTTTTTGGGTCCAGTCGTGGGGCCTGAACTCTGGGCCTGGGCACTGTCCTTCAGCTCTTCAGCTCAAGGCTAGTGCTCTACCACTTGAGCTACAGCACCACTTCCGGCTTTTTTTTTTTCTTTTTGCATATGTGGTGCTGAGGAATCAAACCCAGGGCCTCATGCATGCAAGGCAAGCGCTCTACCACTGAGCCACCTTCCCAGCCCCGACTTTTAAGGTTTGTAACATACAAAACTGTAATATTTGAGAAGATGCAAAAGCTAATTAGTCTGATCTGGCCATTACACAATATGTACATATAAGGAGACAGATACACTTATTGCTCCCTCCCCTCTCACCTTCCTACCAGAAGGGAAACGCAGAAACCTTGAGGCTGATAAGAAGGGCTCTTCATGGAACTTTGGATGCTACCAATCTAAGATCCTGCAGAGGGCCTAGGAGAGGTGAGCCAAGGCACCCACAAACCCCATGAACCTCAGGATCTAGACACACCAAATGAAGACATCAGGAAGTCCTAGAGCTGAGCAAGGAGAGCTAGGTTAACTCTCTGGGTAGTTCTCATCCTCAACCAATCACCTTTCCCCTCTGTCCCCCATTCTCCAGCTCTCTGTTACTGCTTCTTGAGCAAATGTTTACACTAGGGGTGCAGGATAAACTGAAAATATGTGCCCTGGTCTGTGGAGCCTCCTTTCTAGGCCACTATTTTGCTCTCTTGCACTAGGAGTTAGCAGATACACAACCCCAAGCAAGAGACTTCAGTGTTTGCTCTGGGGATAATAAAGATTTAAAAGGCATGACTCCAGATACTAAATGTGAGTCTTAAACAAAATCAGCTCACTTTCCAGTGAAATGTCCCTCATGGACTCTAAAAGAAAGATGTTGTATAGTAATATTATCATAGCCACTGAGCACTGATTGAACCAAAATTAGTGATAAAAATTTGTGGAGGATGTGGTAAAAGCCATTCTCATAATCTATGTTAAGAAGTCAATATAAGCCAGGCAGTAGCAATCCTAGCTAACTCAGGAGGCTGAGATCTGAGGCTCAAGGTTCAAAGCCAGCTCAGGTAGAAAAATCCCATGAGACTCATTTCCAACTAACCAGCAAAAAGCTGGAAGTATAACTGTGGTTCAAGTGGTAGGACACCAGTTGAGCAAAAAAGTAAAGTGAGAGCACGTGGCCTTGACTTGAGTTTAGGCCCTAGTATAGGCACAAATGAGAAAGAAAAGAGTCAGGTGTTGGTGGCTAACACCTGTGATCCTAGGTACTCAAAAGAGGCTGAGATCTGAGGATTGCAGTTTGAAGACAGCCCAGGCAGGAAAGTCCGTGAGACTCTTATCTCTAATTAACCACCAGAAAACTGGAAGCAGAGCTGTGACTCAAAGTGGTAGAGGGCTAGTCTAGAGCAAAAGAGCTCAGGGAGGGCTGGGAAGGTGGCTCAGTGGTAGAGCGCTTGCCTTGCGTGCATATGAGGCCCTGGGTTCGATTCCTCAGCACCACATAAGCAAAAAGAAAAAAGCCGGAAGTGGCGCTGTGGCTCAAGTGGTAGAGTGCTAGCCTTGAGCTGAAGAGCTGAGGGACAGCGCCCAGGCCCAGAGTTCAGGCCCCACAACTGGACCCCCCCCCCCAAAAAAAAAAAAAGAGCTCAGGGACAGTGCCCAGGCCCTGAGTTCAACCCCCACAACCAACAAAACCCAAAAATTTTCCACAGTATAAAATACTTAATTTTAAGAAATAGCATTTTACTGGAAAATGTAGTAAGCACTTACCTAGAATGTATGAAGTCCTGGGTTCTGTCTCCAGCTCCATGTTAAAGACAACAACAAAAAACAATAGGAACAGGGATTGAGCTGTGCCTATTCCTGATGCAACTTATGACTTAAATGTGGAAGGAACCAACCTAAGAGACAGCTTACAGTCTATTTACTGCCTCTAGAAAATGGGGCTGGGATGGATTGCAGGCCAGGGGACTCAGTGTCTTTTGATACTTTTATTGAAGAAAAAAAACCATTTAGAAACACTACTTGGGGGGAAAAAACCCTGCCAAATTAACTTTAAAAATAAAGAAGCCGGGCGCTTATGACTCATGCCTGTAATCCTACCTACTCTGGAGGCTGAGATCTGAGGATCGAGGTTCAAAGCCAGCCCAGGCAGGAAAGTCCATGAGACTCTTATCTCCAATAAACTACCAGGAAACCAGAAGTGGCACTGTGGCTCAAGTGGTAGAGCGCTCGCCTTGAGCTGAAGAGCTGAGGGACAGCGCCCAGGCCGAGAGTTTAAGCCTCTGACGAGAGAGGGAGAGAGCGAGAGAGAGAGAGAGAAATGGAGTCAAATTTTCTTTTTTTTTTTTTTTTTGGTCGGTCATGGAAGCTCAACTCCGCCTGGGCGCTGTCCCTCAGCTCTTCAGCTCAAGGCTAGCACTCTACCACTTGAGCCACAGCTCTATTTCTAGCTTTTTCTAAAAGCTTATGTGGCGCTGAGGAATCAAACCCAGGGGCTCATGCATGCAAGGCAAGCGCTCTACCACTGAGCCACCTTCCCAGCCCTATCAAGTTTTCTTCTTGCATGCTTGTCTCTTGAAGCATCAAT